GACCGCTTAGAGCAATTTTTCTCCGTCTCTCTGTTTGCCACACTTTACCTTTGTCCTATAAAGTGCCTGCAAAGAGTTTTTTTTATTTTTATTTACCTTCTTCCAAAAAGCTGAAAAATGTCATTTGGTTTATGAACTTGGAATAAATCATGGCCAGGCCTGAAACATTAAGCTGCTGGTGGAGCCTGTGGAGCACATATGAAGGGAACAGTGCTGGGTCTTGAGCAGTAAAGCGGATCTAATGTGAGAGATGTTGACAGTTCAAAAATGGAGATAAGGTGGCCATGGTCTTCTCTCCCACTCTTAGAAAGCCCCCCTAAGGAAACATTTTCACTCTGATTAATTCACTATACAGTGCATGCCACCTCCCCAGCCAGTCTGGGGCTACTGCTGAGACTGATAAGCCCAGCTTTACTGCTTTACACACATCCACAAATATATACTCCAAACTAGGTCTCTCTTTCTCTTCCACCCTTCACCCATATCCTCCTCTTTCTCTTTTTATGCACACAAATAAAAAGAGCTCTTGGGCATTTCAGCTGCAGACAGCCAGAACCTTGTCTGCTCGACCAGTGGATTGAGCAGAAAATCTAAAATGTGTTGACAATACATTAGTTTAAAGCATGGTCAATGCAGGCTGTAGTGGATTTCCTCTTTCAACTTCAAATCAGATGCCAAAAAGTAGGCGTCACTTAATCTGTCAACCCACTTGAGGTGCAGTAAAAGTGTAAATCCCTTCCTGATATTCAGCTGGCAGGATATTTTGACTTTACACCGGATTTCTAAAAAGGCCAGCTCAGGGGATATAAAGATGATGAGAAGCGAGATGAGCTCTAACTGGGATAGATGTCACTCTGCTGAATTTAAACCATAGAGATGCATTATTATGCCTCTTTTATCTCATGCTTCTCACGCTTTTGTTTCTCTATTTACAATAATAGGTGATAATGTGGTAGAAAACATCTACAAAGCACTTTTTGGTCCATTTACCAAAGAGATGTTGAGCAAGCCTCACATTTTTTGTGTGTTTGGGTAGAAACCCTGTAACTCCATTTTAGGTGGATTTAACATACAGTCAGAAGCCATTATGGTGTGTTTTCCTACACTTTCACCTTACCTCCAAATACACACAGGCTCCCATTGCTTTCAAAAATAGCTTAGAGACATAGTGCTGCTGGATTAATGTTATAATTCACAACACCTGGTCTGATGAAAACCTTTCAAAAACCTGTTGGTTAATTTGATAAAGTCATAGTGGTCATGCTGAACAGTAGTCAATTTAAATTGCTGGAAAGTTTAGGGCACTGTATGATGTTTTACAATACATTAAAGATTTCAGTGTGGAAATGTCAGTGGGTATTACAAGAATTCATTAGAAATGGATGGAAAGCAAATATCAAATATTTTTGGGGCAAAGGACAGATACTTAACTGATTTTATTTTTTAAGGTACTGAATCATTTGAGAAAACCCCCTGACTGTCTGTCAACCCAAGACTGTGAGATTACCCATCTCCCTGCACTTTATAATCTACCATGCATGCAAGAGCCTGAGCTAAATTTAGTGCCGAGCTGTCAAAGATGTCAACCAGACACAGGTTAATGTGCTTTGCTATCCTTCCATGCCGTCCAAAAACATCCTATTCTCTCTGACCTCCAAACACAATGTGCTTTTTACAGAACACCCACTGAGTCCCAGACATGACTGCTGCATGACCTGGGTGGTTAAAGTGCTCAGCTGGTATAAGTGTCATACCCACTCCAAGTCAGAATTGCACACTCAAACAGGGAGTCTGTAAAACAAGTCGTTACACTTTGTGCTTGGTTTTTTTTTTTTTTTTTTTTAATCCTTCATTGCTCTTCGTTAACAGCACTCTTATGAATCATAGAACAAAGAATCAGGGACAGGCAAGAGGCTCTGCATTTATTCCCTTTTAGACAAGCCGCTGTTCACTGATTAGACCGCTTACAAAATCAAGAGATATTTGAAGCGTCTCTGAACAAGTAAACAAGTTTAATTTACAATTATGTTCATCATGAGAAGTTAGATCACATTGCTTCCTGTGAATGAAAATAAATATGCACTGTACAAAAAGAATAAAGATTAATTGTCAAAAAAGTTGCAACTAAAATTACGCATTAAAGGAGCTCACTTATGTGTATTTAGATTTTTCTTTTTAATTACTTTTTCTCTCTCTCATTCGTATATAACCTGAGCAGACGGGTTGAGCCCTGAAATACAGTACCAAGGCTTAAGAGAGAACCAGGTTTTATTTAAAACAGGCTTAGACATCGTGCTTTGTTTACTTAAATTACTGCATTATAAGAGAACAACAGATTCCACCTCTCACTGTTTTACTCTGCCTCTATTAGCAACGGGCTCTTATTTGAAAATTTGGTGTATATAAAATCTAAACCTAATATAAATACAATTAATAAAGTTTTGACTGATATGTCTGATTAAATAAAGGCTTTTACTCCATGCTCTACCTAAAAGAGCTTAAAGAGAGCCTTAACATAATAGCAATTTAAATGATAAAACCATAATTCAATTATTATATCATAAATATAAACAATTAAAAACGAATAAATATTAACAAATAATTAATAATAAATCAAAACAAGTAAAAAATAATTAAACAAAAATACAAAAAATATAAACAATTTAACTTTAGTTTAAATGATAAAACTATAAAACATTTTGACAAAGGCCAGAGCTGAATCATCCTGGTGGCTGATAGTTAAGACACTTTCCATATAACCACAATTTCACTTGTTTGATTATGGCCAGTTGCCTATCACTAATGCTTATGTGCAAAAAATGTGGATATTCCCAAACAAATTTCAACAATTAACATAATTATCACTAACTGCGACAAAGAGACCCAAGTGCAGACCAGTCAGAATAGAAACAGAAATCGGTGAGTGTATCTTCAAGCAGTGATATCAATTTAAAAATCAATTTCAAATGACAAGTGCAATAATAAACTCTTCCTTTATCAGTAAAATATTGCCTAAAATTTCAGGGAAACCTACACAAGCAAGTGGGAAATACAAGAGGGAACAACACAAGAAAGACAAGACAGAATGACTCAGTTGGCCTACCATCCTCCATGGGGACATAGATGTTCAGGTAAAGGCAGTCTTCACTCTGCTCCTGCACATAGGTCACCAGTGTATCCAAGCTGGCGGTGAACCACACAGGGAGCATATCATTGAGTAAAAACCGGTCCTCTAAGAACTGAGGACAAACTGGTGTGAACTGAGTAGCATTCCTGATGCCAGGCCAGGACATGGGTGGCTCCGGTGGCTGGAACCTCCGCTCCCCCGTTGGGGCCAATGCATATGGAATCCCCAGATACTGCTCCACTGGTCCCAGAATCTCATTGGGTAAAGTAACCTTCACTCCACGCAATTTTCCATAATTGGTGGTGACAACAGAGTGCTGTTGAGCCTGAACAACAGCCACGCAGATGGACGCCAACCTCATCCACAGCAGAAGGCTGGTTGACAGATACATCCACAAAAGGACTCGGGGTACTGACATGCTCCTGCAGTGCTGAGCCTGTGCCTGGCACGTAATGGTTACGGTCCACCTTTTGGTCCTCAGTGTCCCCCTTGCACCTCCCCGAGAGCCTTCCTGTTTCTCCTCACACTGCAAGCTGAGATAAAGAGCCTTAGCCAAAAAATGCAGCTTTCTCAGAGCTCCCCATTCTGAGAGCCTGCATGGATAGCTGCTGTACAACTCCCCTGTTCAGAGTAGAAGAGAGCTTAGGGTGCTCTTTCATTACCTGGGCTCCAGCTTAATGGGATATTCTGAAAAAAGAAGAAAAACACATCATCGTAAGTAATTATGTTATTCCATTTATCCACATAACAAATGTGCAACAGTAACATATCAACAGTTAAAGCAGTGATATTATGTGCACATGACAACTTTGGTCCAACAACCTATATTGTCAAATTCTGGAACCCTGGGTTATTTTTTAGCTATGCTTTGGAGGCTTTCCATGATTATAATGCTGTTCCACCACTCTGATTTTGACTTGGATATCCTGAATATCAATGGCATTTAGATGAACCCCAATTTTCCACTAATAATCTGAATAATAGCTCAATCAGACTAAAAAGGTATCATGTAACCACCTCAATCAGAACGGAATAGCCCCATGCGGCCCCACTGGAAAGAATTTTCAATCAGAATGAAAGGGGCAGTGTAATTAAACCTTTCATAATCTCTTCAATAGTACAATATTTGCCATGTAAACAGAGGTGGAAAGTAACGAAGAACATTTACTCAAGGGTATGTATACTTTGAGTATTTTCATTTTCTGCTACTTCATACTAGTTACTTCTCAGATCTGATTAATAAAACAAAATCCAGTATAATATGACATGACACAAGACATTCAATAAATACAATTATAATCTTGAAAAATAAACAAAACAGAAAAACAGTACTGTAATAATAATAATAATAATGATGTTGATGATGATGATGATGATGTCTCTGTAGAATAGTCTTTAGGGTTTTGAACTTATTTCCTGTTTGGGACTTTTATTTTGTAAGAGTTTCCTGTTTTTGTCATCTCACCTGCCTCAGCTTTACTCTGGTTCTTGATTAACACTCATTGCCTTCAAAGCCTCTAAGTAGATTGAAGGTTAACAGGCGAGGCATCAGAATGAATATAAAAATGATGAGTTATATATGCTGAAAAAAAAAATAGAGAAATTAAGATTTCGACAGGAATGACCTGTCAATCAATAATCAGTGTTTGGACAAATGACTGGTGTGTGACAGCACTGAACTAATCAGTTAGCTGGACATTTCTCTGTACTGCCTACTAAGGGTGGTAGCTACAGCCATCGATACATTTAGCCTCCACAAAGAATACATAAAGTATGTTTTTGTTGAGAAGCAATTAACAATTAAAGAAATTCCTAACTCGATCAACATACTGAATTGCATTACGTTAGCCTGGGAAGTTGGTTAGCTGACATTACACAAAGATACCTGGACTAAGTTAAGATCATTGTTTAGCACTTTGTAGCTGACCGCTTCAATGTTACATGTGAACACAGTCATTCCCCACTACTGTCCTGCCTGACAGAAATAGTTTTCACCCACCTTTTCTGTGGTGTAGTGTGAGAACCAGCTGCAAACTGTGATGCAGTCATGTAGTGCAAGTTGCTTTGCCTGTGTACATGCACAAGTTAGTTAATCCATATTACTTTCATTAAATATCAAGCATGTTATTCGGTGAAATGAACAGAATTTTAACTGCGAGTACAGTAATTATTGCCAGCTTTCTTCCACAGATAGAATAAATTTAATATAGCCGGGTGGTAAACTTTTATAAAGCAAAAAGTAAAAAACTAAATATTTTCCACTTAAAATAAAAGGTCCCCAAAAAGTTCCTAAAGTTAATGTATTCATGCAATGTTCATGGTTGTCCTGTGAATGTGACTGTTTCATTTTGTTCATGTAATGTGAACAATTATAATTTTGAAAAAATTATCACTAATTTACTTCACTGATTTTAATTATCACTAATTTATTCATTAATAATCACTAATTTAATATCACCTTAGGAACTGTGGCCACTAGATGGAAGTGTTGAGCAAGATATGTTCATTTCGCCAAAACTCTGTCAAGTGCATTAGGGTCTTTTTTTCATTTTTATTTATTTATTTTTTGACCTCATGGTGTACACCAATCAGGCATATCATTATGACCACTGGCAGGTGAAATGAATAATAATACTGACCTGTCACCTGTCAGTGTGTGGGGTATATTAGGCAGCAAGTGAACATTCAGTCCTCAAAACTGATGTGTTGGAAGCAGGAAAAATGGGCAAGTGTAAGAATCTGAGTGACTCTGACAAGGGCCAAACTGTAATGGAGAGATGACTGGGTCAGAGCATCTCCCACACTGCAGGTCTTGGTGGGTGTTCTTGGTCTGCAGTGGTTAGTACCTACCAACAGTGTCTAAGGAAGGACAAATGGTGAACTGGCGACAGGGTCATGGACGCCCACGGCTCACTGATGAGGTTGCCCTACTGTAGATTAAACGTTTAACTTCCATTTGTACTTTTCAAAAGATTTTAATTTATTTGAATCTTTGTTAAAATGGTTGAAAATGAGAAATACTGTACATTGTTCTATGAAGAGAAAGAGTCAGGGGCTGTAGTGATGATATCACACCTAGAGTGGTGAGGCTGTCGAATTTGTCTAAAAAATTCTCTCTAACTTGTCTTCACAACCACAGTTTTCACTCCTTTTACAAACGTTTTTCACTAAATTGTAGACACATCTGTGTTCTTCCAGACAGTATAACTGTGGGAGCAAATGGATTCACAGAAAATGCACAGTGAGCTGCAGAGTGATACGAGTGCTGACCAACTGCCACATTGACTCCTATGTAAAAAGTATTTGGCAGGTGGTCATAATGTTATGCCTGATCAATGTAAATTTGTAAGTAAATATGCCCAAACCTTGTTAGATTTTGTCTAAAGAAGTCACCTACCAGCATCTTGACAAGATAATATATGTAGAAGCTGATGGTGCTGACGGCTTGGAGATTGTGGTCATGTGGCGCAGACCCACATATCCTCAGATTCTAGCAAATCAACAGTGTGCTAATTGTGCTCTCCAGTGTGTCTGATGTGGAGTTGGTGTACTTTTGGCAGAATGTAAATTTCCTTTAAAGTATGTGAATATAGCATTTCATAAAAATTTGTTATTTATAATTTTTCTATTTTGTTTGTGTGCAGCCAGAGCCCACTGCTGTATTTTGTCATCCCATATCCTGTCATTCCAGATTTTGTCATCTAGCACTTTGTTCTGGACAGCCTTTTTGTGTGTGTGTGTGTTGTTGTAGTTATTTTTGTTTAATTCTTTTTACTGAAATATCTGCACCCTAGAATGTGCAAGCTGTCACTTAGGGGAAGGCAGATATACAGTATGCTTTCTGTTTACAAAAGCTCTTATTAAAATATGTGACCTGCTGGACATTAAAGCTGCAAGAACCCCAGTAATGGTGACCTGTGTGTCAACCAATTTACCCAGTTTACTTTAATAATAAAAATATAACTTATAGAACCAGCCCTTCAGAAAATTATCTAATGCAGATACATTCAGGATAGATGGTGAATCACAAAGTTTGAAAAAAAAAAACAGTTAATTTACCAAAGTTCTGAAAATTAATGAGTTCATTCATTCTTGAGTTGAGAAATTAAGTTTTTGACCATTGTAACAAATGTTCTAAGAGTATAAACATTAAGCTTCCTATATGATTTGTACTGCATTATAGCCACATTGGAGGTTGCCTAACTTTTCATCTAGTGCTATCATTTGAATAAAATCTTAGTGCAGTAGTTTGATTTATCACCAAATACTTACAAAACGGCTATACTCTTCTGTGTTTAGTGCTAATTAGCAAACATTAGCTTATTAGCAGCATCCACTGTGTAAGAATAGACTCACAGAAGTGCTAGCATGTATAGCATGTTGCACATAACCTCTAGAGTCCCTGCGTCCTCATATGAGGACCGCACAGCTTGGGTTTCCAAAGCTCAGGACTCTAGAGGTTAAGGGTGATGCTTAAAATTCAAAATTGTAATGGGTTTTGGTACATTTTATTCAAATTCTAGTGGATTTTGTGATTTGTTGAAATAATTTTATGATGGGAAATTCTCAGGCTCCTGTGAGATGATGCTTTGGAAAGCCCTCTGACTTAAAAATCAACTCTGTGGGTTTGGAAATTAGTGTCAAAACCAGATGGCATGAAGCCCGTTAATTCAATTTTCTGTTGAGGCTCTTGCCTCATTCCACTACTCCCAAATCTGGAGACATTTTTTTAAATATATATCTATATTTATATTTTAAGTGGTTTGGTTGAATAAAATCTTACAACCAACTGCTCCAATTCAAAATGTTGACTGATTATTCCCTCTCTCAAGTAACACTGTGTGCCACTCAAAGTCAGGCTAAATCAATTATTAACAATGTGTATGTCAAATAAAAATAGTAATAGAAATGTGGCCAGAAGGAGGGCATGTCTAATGCTGGGTTTGGACTACACAATTTAAACTCGATAACAGCCCAGCTTGACGGTTGTAGGGCGTCAGAACCGAAAATAACACCAATCAGCCACAACAATCAATCATTTTATCTCATATAGTGCGTCATATTAAATGACAACCATTGCTGCATCTGGGATGCTTCACAATGTCCCAACACAAAGTCAAGCATACCAGAATTATTTTCTACTTTTTATGACATGTTGGGATGATGCAGACCAATAGGAGCAGAGATCACACTTTGTTAAATATCATATTTGTTAACTGTCACAGTGATACAGCTAACATTAGCATACTGACTTGCACAGTCAGCCTTGTAAGAGAGCTACTTTATCAGAGCTAGCTAGCTAGTTTTCAGTTTGACTACTGGCTAAAAACACCCATTTTTAACCGCTACCTCAAGTTCTCTTTGAAGACAACCCATACTATATTCTTTGTATGACCCACAGGTGGGTCCACAGTCATTTGTTTGTCTGTTTGTTTTTTTGTTTCCTGCTTTTCTGAACACAAGCAGCCAGTATCGCACACCATTGCATATGCTAGTCTGGTTTATATTCTCCTGGTCTTTCACGCAAATCATGAATGACAGCAGGCTGCTATCTATCAGGTACCAACATGTAGTCTGCCATATCCCTTGTCCAAGTCACGGCAAGAATTTATAAGTCTATAATCATGAAACTGACATAGTGACCATCTTATCAAAGTCAGCTTACAGAAAGAAATCCCTTTAGCATT